CAAAGGGGTTCTAATAACAAAGACGCATAAGTGGAAGCTTAACGTACACAAGGCTGTTCACCTGTGATCAAACTGCCCAGGATGCTTATAAATGTTTTGTTTGGGAAAAGATTTGCTTCAAACACAAACGCAGTACGCTTCAAACTTAAAAACAGCCTCCAAGAAAACATCTACGCATGAAACAAGTAAAATCTGAGCTGGGCCCACTGCAAAGTGTGGTGCTCAGGCTTTAAAGCAGGACAACTAATTGTGTTTGCAAGCACACAGTCCAAACCATGGCACAGTAAAGAGGCACATCCTCAATTTAAGACTCGTCAGTTCACCTACATCTCGAAGACAAGGAAAACTCTCATGTCAACTATCTGGACAGCCATGATGGATGGTTTGAAGAAGTTGTAAAGGAATCAATCCACAGAAAGTTAAAGAACAAAAACATGAGCATCAAACAGAAGAGGAGAGTGTATAAATCTCCACAATAAAGCAAACAAATAGTCTAAGAACACAAAAATCTGATCATTTTAACACAATGTGTTGCATAAAAACCACATGCCCCAACCACTTCAGCTGGTTTCTTTCCCACCTATCTTGTGGAGTAGGGCTGCAACAACGAATCGATAAATTCGATGAAAATCGATTACTAAAAGCGTTGGCAACGAATTGCGTCATCGATTCGTTGTGTTGCACAACTCTTCCAAAAGCCCCCTCCCCTCCCGCCCGCCGTTGCGCGCAGACCGCAGAGCCGGCAGGTGTTTGGAAAGAGGAACATGGCAGAAGCAGCGAGACCCCCCAAAAGTAAAAACTTCTAAAGTTTGGGAGCATTTTCAGTTAAATCAGGTGAAGAAATTCGTTACCTGCAACGTTTAGGTCAGACTTAGCATGGCACGGGAGTGCTGCAGTGATGATGCAGCGTTTTAAACGCAAGCATGTCAGAATCATCAGCGAGGAAGGAGAGAGCTCGGTGTCCGGGTAAGTTAAAAACTTTTCAAAAGTGATTCACCCAAGCCCCAGATTATTACACAGGCAAGACATGCCCTAAACTCGTTAAAAAAAAGTCTATAAAATCGTAAGCGCGACGCTATTAGATGGGGGGGGGGCTCGCGCCGCTGCGAACCGGTTCCGCCGTCACATTCCGGCAGAAAGTGGTTGATCACACCGGGGCCAGACTACTAGCATGTGGCTTTACAACCACAATGTCCTCAGAAGCGAAAACGCTTTTAAAAGGGAGGGAGGAGTCCTAACTGTTGCTGCAGGCGTGTTGTGTGAGAGTGTAGTTATTAGGGCTGGGGGTAAACGATTATTTTTAAAACGATTATTCTGACGATTATTTTATCGAATAGTCGACTATTCTAATGACTATTTAGAAAATTAATCTAATGATTATTTTTCTATTGCACAATTAACAAAAACCAGAAAATCTCAAATAAATTCCTCAAAAAAATTGATAAATTCTTACTGTAAGAGAATAAACACTACAGGCCTTCCATTTTGTATAACACTGCGTTTATTGTGTTGGTTTTCTGGTGACGTGTAGAACCTGGGAGTGCAGGCTGCTGCCTGAGAGGTGGTAGAAGATGGAGTGTCTCCATGCTGCTTTGTTTTGGTCACTTATGTGCGTGAGGCGAGTGGTGTTACATTTTTAACTAAACCGAAAACCCACAACACTCTAAATGTAATAAAAGGGAGATCTACACCACAAAAAAGATGAACTCTAAACCAAAACGTAACAGCTTATCCCAACGCAAGAAGCTGTTAGCGAAGATGCTAACAGTAGCTTTACCAACGTTAAGTTCAAGTTACCAAGTTTAAATAAACCAAAAACACCCAGCAGCAAACAGACCAGCACGGAGGAGAGACTGCTACCACCAAAACAGCTCTCCTCATGTCTGAAAGAAGCTCCTTAATGAAGGGAGAAGCGCTCCCGGTGATTTTCTACATCTGCGACAGAGACGGAGCAGCGCACATCTGACCCCGGAAGTTGTTGTCCGTTGCCGGGAGACGAAGGGGCAAAACTGGAAAATAATCTAGTAGTGGACGGACATTGTTCCGGGTCTTCGGTATTTGGCGGAGATGTTAGTGAAGGCGGAGAAGAGGGCGAACTAGAGGAAAAACAGGCAGATTCCTCCTCTATTTACAAACTCCTGGGGATGCAACAAGTGGGCGCGGTGCGTCGACTTCCGGATCTGACGTCGACAAATTTTTAGAATCGAGCCGTCGACTTCGTCGAGGCTTCGCTACAGCCCTAGTAGTTATATACTGGTTAATATATTTTTGGGTTCAGTTGCTTTCATGTGGCCTAATGTGAGTCTATTTGGGGTCATTGGAATGATCAGCAACATTTCTTGATGTGACTTTATGGCAGTTGCCCAGGGCATCATCGCAAGGAGGATGGCATTCATTTGCTTTTGTTTTATTTGGTATTTTTTCAGTCATTTTTGGAAATAGTGATTAATTTTGATTAATTCACAGCCTATGTTTAATTACATTTAAAAATTAGTTGTTTGACATCCCCAATTATAATAAATGTCTACAGATGAGATCAAACAAAACAGATGAGAATTGCCCTTAAAGAGCAAGTCACCCCCAAATTAACTTTTTTTTGCTGATAAACTAAATAAACGAGTGTCTAATCGTGCTGCAGACACGTGTCGTCAATAATTTGGCACTTCAGTGCATCTTAGTTAAAATTTAAATATTCTGCCTCAAACTGGCAGGTTGTGCCGTTGTCAGGTAAAAACTCTGCACTGTATTTTAATTTAAATCTGCCACCGCTATTGGCTAAGAAGTATGCTATGATGTAAACTGGTACATTATGATGTCACAATGCTGTCGTGAGCCTGAGTGTGTGTTTGTTAGCGGCTCCGCCCTCTTGGTCTGCCAGGCAACAGCATGTGTTGCATTTTTCAAACATGAAGTGGGAGTGGAGTTAGACTCTGGTAGGGGTTGACTTGCTCTTGTTTAACTTGGACCAAGCATTTTAGGTGACAGATAGATGTAGCTTAGGGTCTCTGTCTATACACCTTATAAGACAATTTAGGTGATGGCATGTTGTTTTTCTGCTATTGAACTGTTTTCTAATAATGTTGTGTTTAATAAAGTGAAGGAAGGAGAAAAATAACTTTTCCCTAGCAGTTTTTAAAAATGTCCCTATGTAATCCGATTAATCGATTAATCGTGTCGAGACCCCATCCGATTCATCGATTATCCAAATAATCGTTTGTTGCAGCCCTATTGTGGAGGAATCCCATTTCAGTGACCTGTATTCCTAATCCTCTTGTTTCGGTCACTATATAGATCATGACTATGGATACACGCTGGAACATAGATCAACTGTTAAATTGAAAGCCTCGCCTTCCAGACGATTTTTATTTACCACAACAGACCAGTTTAATAGCCACTTTACTATGGATGCTGCCCTTATCCACCAGTTAATCTCCAGCTCCATCCTTTCCTCACTAGTAAACAACACATAAAGATACTAAAACTCCTTCACCCAAAGCCAGGCCCCTCATCTGGACTGGGCAATCCACCCTTTTATGGTTGAGACCCATGGCCTCCGATCAGTGGCTGATCCTAAAACCCAGTCATTCATACTCCGTTTCAAACTTCCCTAGCATCACATGAATGTCGCAGTTCCATAAAGCAAAGAGGACCACATCCTCAGGAGAAGTGAGACATTCCTCCACCCACCAAATCCAAAACCTTCCACCCTACACAACTGTACCTAGAATTTATGTCCACAGAAAATCTGAACAGAAAGTGTGCCTGGTGGAGTACGACTCCCATTGCTAATGGGCTCGGTATTCTCACAGCTAAGCAGACTAGAGCTGCGTTCTTTGGTACACTGTGTGAATGGCCCTTAAACATGTGAGTTGGTTGGAAGAACTCCCATTTCCCTTCTATGACTCTAGCAAAGTTAAAGAGCAAATCCGTGGTTCCCTGGCCAACAAGCTGGCTTTGGATTATTGACCCAACACCTAAATAAATGATGTGATTCATTCTCACGGTAAAACTAAATTATAAAATTCCATGTTGTCGTTCTTTTTAAAACACAGAAACAGTTTTGTTACCTGTTTTGTTAATGTAATCTTTAAAAAACTTGATAATTGCACTTGATTTGCAATTCGCATTCTGTACAATCATGCCAGCACAAAGAATCAAATGCAAAACTAAAAACACTCACAAGCCTATAATGAGGTTTTATGTATGGTACATTAGCTCCCACCCAGAAACACACACACACTGATTCACATACAGAAACAAACGTGCACAACCAGTGTTCTGGTACTCTCCTGTGCCTGACATCCACTGCTTTGTGACTTCATATGGTGTTTTGGGCCTCAGCTTCAACAGAGCGCCAAACAAAAGCGATCGTTAATAGCTAAAGAGCCACTTGGTAACCTCCCACTACCAAATAGCACAAACTGGAATGCACGCACACACGCGCGCGAGTGCGCGCGCACACACACACACACACACACACACACCTCTATTGACATCTTTTCTGCAGAACATTAGCTATTGTGCTGTAATTAATGGGAGAGTCATGGCGTTCAAAAAGCCAGACTTCTCTCTGCAGACTAAGAGCTGTACACCAAAACAATTGCTTAATGAGTAAACACACTGTGCGTTTCATGAATAAATTAATTGTGCCTCACAATTAATATTCCCTATTGAAATTTGGAAGAGGACAAAAATGTTCCTGGTCTTCATAAATCAAAAAGCAAAGGGGAGGGGGAAAGAACATGACAGCAACTTTGTGTTTAAGATCAATTGTAATGTGTTTATTATTTCTAGGTTGTTATCTGCTGTTATCTGTGTGTGCTGGGGTGAGTTCTTAATGAATCTGTTCTTGTCCTAAGATGTGTCCAAGCCCAAAGACTATAGTGAAGGTTTTATATGTGTAATAAACAGCTTGAAGGGGCTTTTCTCTTCACTAACTAAATACACAGCATATAGTGCATGGCTTCTGAAATATGTGTGAATACAGTCAGACAACTCACTGAGAGAAGCTTCCATGTGATGGGTCGAACCTGCCGTGGGATTCCAGACCAGCTGAGTTTCCGTAGCTCCTCTGTAGAATAGATAAAAACAACAAAGTGTAACTGTATTTTTAAGAACGTGTTATCAACCATCACAGACAGAAACCCCCCCCAAGAGTAACGTAACAGTTCAATTAGCAACATAGATGATGGCGAAGGTGTTGCTAGGTTGGGTTGAGAAAAAGCAGCAGAGCTAGCCAGATTTAGCTTTCACTAGGAAACTAAACAGAGACATTGATGTAAGATAAGGAGATGTTTGCTTTTTGTCTCCTGGGAGATTAAACAATTTAGAAAACAATCCATGTGCATTTTTTCACGCTGATTGCTACATTTTAAAAAGGCTTTCTCTTCAAACAGTTCATAGCAGAACAAACTGCAGAAAAAGTTGACTGAAACCTGGGACCCAACATTAAACCATAAATGTATTTAATACTAGGGACGCACCAGTATGAATTTTTTGGACCGATATCGATATCTGATATTATTATTATTACTGTTATGGCAAATAAACGATATTTGCCAATACAGATATATTGACATTTACGCTTCCGATATCAGCTAATTTGAATAGACAGAAAATTTTGCAAGCTGAATTTGTGACTGTTTAGCTTTATTTCTTCAAAGTGGAATTTGCAAAATATTATATACACACACGTATACAATTCTGAGATGATTACCAACACTGTCACAGGACTAAACAATTACTCATCATCACCCTCCTCACCCTCTGAAACACACAAACAAAAAAGACGGAAAAAATATCGGTGGTTAACTCATTCACTGCCATTGACGACAAAAGTCATCATTTTAAATCTAACCGTTTACTGTCGATGATGACTTAAGTCGTCATTTGCATTTTTTACTGTGTGGGCGGCGGAACAAGCCCCTGCACCGTGACAACAAACATCCCAGCTCTAAATTCGATCTTAATCCGCGTACATGACACATCACGTGATCATGAAGCAGAAAATCCATGTGTCAGGAGATTGTTTTGGGCCGCTGCTGTAAAAAAAAAGGTAAGGCGCAAACAGAAAAGCTTCGGCTGATCTCAGTACAACAACAGATTATGAAAGAATGGACAATGCTCGAAACGCGCAGATTCTTCCTGATGTAAGGGGTGAGTCTCTTTGTTTTGGTGGTTTTGGTGTTGACATCATCCTAGCGCGCAATGTTCTGTGACTCTTAAAAAAACAGTAAAAACAGTGAAAACCGCTGGCAGAGAAGGGCTTTTCTGAACGGGAAACGGTTGGCAGTGAATAAGTTAATATCGACCCAGTTTTATTTATCGGACCAATACCGATATTGATGCCAATATAGTGTGCCTCCCTATTTAATACCATAATAGACATTGTTTCTATTCATGAAAAGTAAGGGCTCTTAAAAATCCAACATTCATTTATCTATCCTGACTGCATGTTAGATTAGTCAACCAACCAACTGACCATATGCCCACTGTCTAAACTTCCATTCTTGTCAATCTTATCTTTTACCAAACATAAAATGGCTTAGAAGTGGACCATTAACTACTCCTCCCCCCAAGGCTGGTTGGGAGAGCCTGCATGCTAAATTCCTAAATGAAGCTGACTGAAAGGTGCAAATCAAACTTTTTAAATGGTGGAGAGTAATTCCTTTTGGGGCCAACAAAGATCCAGGAAATATGGCTTAATGCAATGAGTAGGCAGGCCAATATATATCCTGTCCAACACACACACACTCTTTGGTAGTGGGAAACTCTGACTTGTTTTTAACATGCTGTGTTTCCAATTCCTACAGTTTTCAGTGAACACAACATGAAAATGACACTACAAAGAAGATGTATGATCCAATTTCAAGGCACCAAAAGAGGTCATGTTACTGAAGCTTTCGTCTGTAGCAGCAGTGCTTCTGGAAATATTTTTGGTCCAGAGCTCAAAGTTGCTCTTTGTGAAACAAAGCCTTCACCTATTATACAGTGACAGAAAAGTAATAAAAGTTTGTAGATCCCCTGGAATTACCGGGACTTCTTACTTGTTTTGGTCTTATCTTCCTTTAAGTATGAAGCATTCTATTATTCTCAGTGAATTTAAAGTGTAATGGTCATATGAAAGTGAGCACTAGGTCTACAATACAGTGAACCGTGCTGGATTAGAGACGTTTGAGCAATCAACTGAAATGTAAATATAGGTCGATGGGGCTGAATTTAGTACAACACATCTTTAACAGGCTCATAATCTAAAATCTAGTGTAATCTAATCTAGTTCAAAATCTAATCCATAATCTTTGTGAACTAAATATACTATACTCACCCCATGCCTAATACATAAATAATCTTCTTAATGACTACACACCAATAGGACTGAAAAATATGGAAAAATGGGCAGGACTACCCATGTTCCCACGTGGTACAAGCAAAGCATGTCGGACACAAGTTTGTAATGAGCACAGGTGTTTTGTCATTGGGCAGAAATACTGTACTACTGGTATACATATGTATAAATAAAGTACAAGAGAGTACAAGCAGACTTGAAAGATTGCATGTTTATTTATGTCCCGCAATTGACCAGCTAACACAATAAGTGATGTGAACGTTTTTATATAGATTTACGACAAAAAACTGCTGTTTGTGAAGCTCTTTTAACCTTTGAAAGTTAACTTCTAGAAGACTGGAAATCCAATAGATCAGATCTCCTTGGAAAAAAGAACAGATCAATGCACATGGATTTAATTCCAAGTTGCATCTTTCTGCAGCTGTTCTACCTATGCTTTTTGTTGTTTGCTTGCATTTATGTTTATGTTTATTTATTTGGCAGACGCTTTTATCCAAAGCGACTTACAATCTATAACCTATAGGTAGGGCTGCTCAATTAATCGAATTTTAATCACGATTACGATCTGAGTTTTGAACGATTATAAAAAACAAAACAAGCTGATTATTTGCTCCTCCCGCTTGTGCTGCCCTGAGTTGCAAATGAAGCGCTTCTCCCACAGTGTTGCCAACTTAGTGACTTTGACGCTATTTCTAGCAGCTTTTCAGACCCCCTTCTTGACTTTTTAACTTAAAAGTACCTAGCAAACACCTCAGAAACATCCCTGGTAACCCTTAGCTACTTTCTGGATAACTGTCGTTGACGTTTCCTGCAGGTTAGCTAAACACGCCGCCTGCGCTCCGGACCGTCCTTCAGGACATTAGGAAAGGGAATGATGTAGTGATGTGTCAGTCGCTAAAGATAGCTCTCGGAGCCGGCTCCCTGTTGGAGTAACCAGAGTGAGTGACACACACATACCGTACCTGCGGACTCCTGAGCCACTAAAAACGGCTAAATGTGCGTGTGCGGCGTGCTAAACACACGTGCAGCTTGCCCCGATTGCTGTGAGACCGGGTTGGGGGGTGGGGGGTGCAGCTGTGGTTGGGACAATTATTACATTAACTGATGGACTTGTAAATAAATAGTTTATAAATAAGGTAGAAATAAGTTCCTCATGCTGATAACTAATAACTAATCTCTCTGAGGACACGGTGCTAGTGCACGCTCCGACAGCACCTTGACACGACTAAATACGTATTATGCAACATTTTGTGAACATCAATTTATTTGCATTTATTTGTTATAAATGCCACTGTATAATTCTTGCTGTCAGTATTTGCAAGATATTGGTATTTGGGTCTGTACTGGTTAGACTTAAATGAGTTAAACCAAGGTCTATAGCCCTTGGGTCATAAACTATGAGCTATAAGTATATTGGTCTTTTTATACTGGGAATCAGGAGTTCTTTTAGTGATCATCTTGTTTCTTATTTTTGTCCTGATTGTGCCCTGAGCAATTTTATGACTGAATAAAAACAAATAAAATCAACATAAATTGAAAAATCGTCCTAAATAATCGTGATCTCAATTTCAGTCACCATAATCGTGATTATTATTTTTGCCATAATCGAGCAGCCCTACCTATAGGGCATGTTGTGATCTGTGGGAGAAACCGGAGTACCCGGAGGAAACCCACGCATGCATGGGGAGAACACGCAAATCCACGCAGAAAGGCCGCAGCCGAGTTTCGAACCTGCAACCTTCGTGCTGCGAGGCAACAGTGCTAACCCCTGCGCCACCATGCAGCCCATTTAACCACTCAACAACATTATTCTGAAAGCACCTTTATTTTAATAACTGAAACTTTCACACAGAAATCTATTTTTCACACACACACACCCCTAGAGGAAACATAAAACCACTACAGATTAAAGAACTTAAAATACTTAAGATATCTGACTCAAGCAGTATTTCCTAAGAGCATGAGGTTCCTGGATGGGCTTGTGCTAACATTAGCTCATCTATTATTCACTGATAAGTCTCCCTCTGTCCCTGCAAGTATAAAACACTCATTAACATTCAACAAGACTAGTTGCCACGGCAAAGCTGAGACGACCATATACACACAATAAAATTTTCTCACTTGTTATTGGACTGCTTACTGTTTTACCCGCATTCTAAGAAAGGAAATTGATTTACTCGCAAATGAAATGGAACTGGCCTAATGCACCTTGTAGGTTAAAAAAGCTGGATAAAAAACTGAAATGTATTTAATGAACAAGCCGAGTTTCTTCCCAACCCGTATTCAAAGCACTGGCTGCAAATTGATGAGCCCTTCGTGCAGAGCAGGTACAGAGTGAACACTATTGATTAGTCCTGCCAAATGACTCTGCCTTGCCTGTTCTTCAAGGCAAATGCAACGTAGACCCAGTGACAGATAACAGAATAGGAAACAGCAACGGGCTAAGTTCACTGGCTAAATTGAGTGAAACGCATTAGAGCTTGTTCAACTGATGAGAGTAGCTATTTATTCTCTATAGTTCCTGCGCATCTTCCACTTAAAATTTTCCTTTTTGCCTTGTCCCCTGTGACTTCAATTATATAGAAATTCAATGCAGTGATCTAGTACACAGTATGGCTCTGTTAAATCAGAGAAGTCAGTGCGCCACTGAGTAAGATGGTTTCAATTACCCCAAGGGTTAGGGTTAGGGTCCCGTTTAAAAACATAGACTCAACAAAAAAATCCCC